CCAAGTCCATGGTGTCGATAAATAATCCGACAACTGTTTTAATCATCGTCCGAATTATTGGGTATAAAAAAACCCAACACATAGGATAAGCTTAAAATCTTATTGTGATCGTGACTTCAACTTTTTGGTAAAATATAAAACATTTAATTAGTTTAAAATTCACGTATATATAATGTCATTTACTTAATTAGGTAGAATTGGATTTACTAGCGAGAGGTTCTCAATTATTTTAGGAAAAAAAAATTGGATTGAATACTAATATGAAGATTTGCTATGAAGGGGGAAAATTAAGGTGAGCTCGTGATGTCCTAGCATTTGTTTCCATATTTTAATCTCAAAAACTCAATTTTGAGTAATTTGAAATTAGCTTTATTTTAGTTTAGAAACTAGAAAAAAACAACCATTCCCTGTTACTTTACTTTTGATTTGAAATAAATTATATGATTAAATTAAGTCAATACTAAGTAATAAGGTCTTCGTGACAGTGATAATTCAAGTTCTATAGGAAACATCCACTCTAGTACTCGTTTGAAGATCATACACTTACGATTTTTATCGAACAATGTATACCTAATGGTTATAAAGAGAAATTTATATCAAGTTAGCAGAGTCTTGATGATAATGTAAATCATGTAAGAAAGAGATTGTGTAAATCTCATTGGACTACAAGATCTTCATAGTTGAATAAATATAAACAATCATGCTATGGGTACATTGTGGTGTCCAAAATGGACACCCGGCACCTCGGCATTGGTCGAGGCGCCTACCACGCCGGGGCCCACCGGCGCCTCGGCCAATACCGAGGTGCCGGGTGTCCATTTTGGATACCCCGTTGAACAACTCGGTGTACCACAAGTATTATTCAAATATAAATGATAGAGGTCATCGCTTGAATAGGACTATGGTGATTATGTGTGATCCATAAAATTATAGTATTTCGTTCAAAAGTTATTACTCCGGAAGTGAGAAGAAATGTCTCATATCAAGTAGGCACACAAATTATGTCATATTATAATGAGCTTTGACTATTCCACTTAATGGGTTCATTTTCTAAGATGACATTCAATATCATGACATGAAGAAAAATAAATATTATTTACATGTTGTTTCAGATTAATATAAATATTTTCAGAAATTACAAACCATTCAAATTAAAATTTATTGTTCGTTTAACCTCTTATAATTCGTCTTAATTTTGTTGTTTTTTCTTTTTCTTTTTTTTTTCTTCCAAAGGAGATTTTAATAATTAATATTCTGTAGAATTTCATTTCAAAATGATGGCAAAAGATGGTAGGTTTTCGAGTAAAATTGAAACTACCTTTATTGCTAGGCTCTTTTTTAATCATGGTAGCAATTCAACAGCATATACAATTGTATATAATTTTCAAAAGGAAATCGAATTCTTTCACGAGTGACACATTGGATATTGATAACAAAAAATTCAATGATTTTTTTCTAAATTATTTATTTCATAATACTTATAAACTTAGACATAGAGCATCCAAACATAAAATGACTTGACATATTAGAGTATATATTTTCCACCAAATATGTGGTTTTTTTTTTAAAGTGAAATAACGTGAATGCAACAAAACTAAATAAACTGCCTGTATTGATAGAAAATTGCAATAAAGTAAAATGTGTAACGACGAAATAAAGAAAAATTAAAATTAATTCAAAATAGACTTTATGAAAATAAGAATTACGAAGACAATAGATAAAAATGATGATTTATATTAAAATGTACGGTAGGAATTTTCTCCTATTCTTATAACACAAGTTGTATTTTAATAATTCTAAATTTAGGTCTTATTTATATGAATTTAAGATTCATCAAAATGATTTTCTCTCCAATGACAAGCGAACGAGCTACAAGGAGAGAAGAAGATCTGAGACAAGCAGTTCAAATTCAATTCAACTAAAAGCATAACAAGGGAGAAAAGCCGTGCAAATTTATATATGTTACAAAAATCCATTAAACTTGGAGCAATTCATTAGTGACAACTCTTTTAATTTTAGTTCTTTTGAGTTATTCTTCAAACATTTCATCCAAGGTTACTTCGAGAACCATCACATCTGCTTGAATAATTAACTTCATTTAAACTTTAGCAAAGGTGATGCAAATTTAGAGTCTAGTAATTGTCATATAATGCTAATAAACTTAAGCAACAATGACTTGTGATGGTCACAAAAAGTATGTCTCGTGGTTTTTAGAAAATCTCGAGTTCCTAATTCTTAGTATTTTGTTTAGCAATTTAATATTCTTTTACTATAATTTGTATTTTGTAGGGTGGAGGTTAAATTCTTGCCAACCGTTCAACATATTGTCACAAACCGGAGATGAGCTCCATTAAAGATGAATGCATTATTTTACATTTGTCATTTTTTTTTAGTGTCGGAGGTGAGGGGGAAGTGTTACATAGCGAGTTGACATTTGTTGTTTTCCTCACATTATTAGAATTGGCAATGGACCAAATCGGCTTGGCTTGACCCTTAAACACTCGAGTTTGACTAGCTTGGTTCGGCACTTAAACACTTGAGCTTGGCTTATGTTCAAATTCTAAATTTTGTTCGACCCTCTAGCTCGTAGGTCACATGGACCAAGTCGAGCAGCCTCATTAAAAAAAAAAAAAGTGCAAAAACAAGAATTTTTTTAAAAGAAATTAATAAAGTAATTCAAAGAGGGAGCCGACCTTTTCGACTCAGTCATGACTCGTCTCAAAACGAATTCTAATTGACGAGTCGCTCAACCTTTCTACATTGGATAATTTTAATAAATAGTAAGATGATATTTCAAAAGTCGTGTCATTTATATGCCTATTTCACTATGAAATGTAAAAATTCTATCAATGGTGCTTCAAGTATAGGCAGTAAGCCTCTGCCAGGTTAGACACATTGGTGTAGTCCGCTCAATTTTTATTTTTTAATAATACAGGTTGAACCCATCGACCTCCCTCTACAGTGAGAAGCCTGTAAGGCCCTGTAAAAATAATGCCTGTACTCAAGGCAATATTCAAATGCTACAACACACAACACATTGTAGCAACACATGAGCACAGCTCCATTGCTGTTGACATTGACGCATCAACTTTGTGGATCCAATGCTAAGTACAAATGCACTAAAATAAAGGGGTATTAATGTAAAACCCACTTTTCTTTCCATCAAATTTCACTTTTACCACCCCGTCTCATAAGGAGACTTGACAGTAGCAGTCGTAAATCACTGAAAAAGGTACAATCAAAGTTGCAGCCTTTTCACTCTTTTAAGTTGATGATTTGTACATCTGATATTGGTACAAATTTGTTCTTTTCTTACCTAAAATGGTAAATAAATTGGGGTAAAAAGGCTAAAATGGGAAGGTTGGTAGGAACAGAAAAATATGAGTATCAACGTACAAGTGACAGCTGAGTAAATGAGTCCAGTAAACTGTTTTTTCTTGAAAACGAAGTCCAAACAGGGTTGGGGGCCCCTATTATTTCTGAAAAAAAAAAAAAAAAAATTGTGAAATATTAATAAAATTTAGCACCATTTTGTTACCGATTCTTTAAAATTCATTTTTAAGTACATATTTTTTTCAATGAAATTATTTTGTACACGTAAACACTTTATTTTTTTTTTAATTTCTTAATGACACATTCTTAAAAATAAAATAAAATAATTCACAAAATCTATTATTTTATTTTTAAAAAAAAAAACTTATTGTATAAGCCCTTAATTTTAAACTTAATATTAGCCACAACAAAGGAGTGCAATCAAGAAAAATTCTCGTGTTATGGACAATAGTAACTTTGTGGAAGATATAGTAGTAGGTCGAACATCTCGTGTGAATAAGATTTATGTAGTGAATTTTAAATACGATTTGATTAATCTATTGAATCTATATTGTTTGCTCTCGTTGAAGAACCAATAAAACTTGCATTATCCATTTCTCTTCCATATTTTTTATTTTAATAAATAAAGACTGAAAAAGAGTTTATTCCAAGTGTGTATGTAATAGACAAAATTGGACCAAAAATAGAAAAATATTTAGATTGAAGAAGATGCTCAAATCCACACCCTTTAAATATTGTGATAAGATTATGCATTTTTATAATATTAAATAAATATCATTAATATGATTGAGGATGAGGATGTGTGTTGATTTCTGGGGTTAATTGATTTAATCACATTTTGATGATTATCTGTTATGATCAAATTATTTTACTTAAGAAAGAGGTTCCAAGTTTAATTTCCTGGCTTGTTAGTTGGAATATATTATCCATTGTTTGGTGTAGATTAAAATCAAATAATTAGTAGAAATTGATGAAAGTTGCTGATCTCATGAAATGCGTGAGTGTTTAAAATTAATTGTTAACTTTGACTTAAGATTTTAATTAAATTTTAATTCAAACCAAATAGCGGGTATATGTTTTATGACTAATGTTATCCAACGTTAATAGATATACATCACCGATATATTAAGTAATAATGTGTTCACTGTCCAATGCATAAAATTGCATCACAATTCTATTGGACAATGATCTAAATGACTTATTGTCACGTGATTGATGATGCGTCTCTATTAATGATAATTAATGAATTACGTCCAACTATCGTAGTAAACATCCTTAAATATTGTTAACATGTCTGGGTGTCACTATAATCAAAATTAATACCACCAAAATGTGAGATGGGCTGTTCTATCTGAGTTTTCTATCTGCCACCCTGGCCTCACTCAATCCTTTCAAACCTACCAATATTTATGGGTATAACACACACACATCTTGATGGTACAAACCTCTAGCAATGATGCTAGGCGTATATCATCCTTTACGTGGCAATACACCATTGGACAATTTAAATTTTTGACAATTTTTTCCTCCAATCAACATTTGACACCGTTTGGAATGTCAACAATAATGTCAACAAAAGAGTGTACACGTGGCAATTTCGGGCCTTTAATTTTGCACTATAAATGGATGCACATCGTGTTGGAAGGGTGAATAAACAGCAATTCTATACTTGTGATTTTTACAAGAAAAGAAAACAGGTCAATGAGAAATACCCTACAATTTCACAACTCTTCCAATTCATAAAAGTTTTTTTAAAGGCTTTTTCTCTTGATGAAGATGGGGTGGATAAGTCATCACACAGAGAAAAAGGAAACATATAGAAATATCAAAGCTTGAACCCACCAAGAAAATTCTAAGATTACCCCACAAATAATGGAAGTCACTGATTCAAATACCAACGAACAAGCCGCACCTCAAGTCCAACCACCACATGGTGGTCGTGATTGTTCATCATCGTCTCCAGCCTCCGCTGCTGTTTTAATTAACACCTCCACCGCTCAACCACCACCAACAGCACAGTTTGTGGAGTCCTCCTTAGCCATCGTGACCACCAGATCGGAAACCAACGATGATTCGACCAAGAAACGACCCAAAAGTACAACCAAGGACCGGCACACGAAAGTTGACGGTCGAGGACGGCGCATCCGGATGCCGGTCACTTGTGCAGCTAGGGTTTTTCAGCTGACACGAGAATTAGGCCATAAGTCTGATGGTGAAACCATCAAATGGCTCTTGCAACAAGCCGAGCCGGCTATCATAGCTGCCACGGGGACAGGAACCATTCCAGCCAATTTTTCCTCACTCAATCTCTCTCTCCGAAGCAGCGGCTCCACTCTGTCGGCTCCGCCTTCGATATCGGCTCCACATTCTTTTCACGGTGCACTTGGACTAACGCACCGCCCTTATGAAGACAATTCTTCTCACTTGTCAGGGTTTCACCAGCATCAAACCCCTAATCTTTTACAAGCGGCTCAAATTACAAATACCTTAGGCGACGGAGGCAGTGGCGGAGGTGGCGCCTTTGTTCGACAAGGTACGACAGAGAATTACTTTGAAAAGAGATATAGAGAAGACTTGTTCAAAGAACAAAGAACCAATAATTCCCAAGGAGAAGGCTCCAGTTCACCTTCCAATAGAAAACTCAAGAGCTATGACATGCAAACAAGTTCGCTGAGGCATAGTAATATGCTGCCTACCACTGCCATGTGGGCAGTGGCGCCAGAACCGAGCACCACCGCCACCAGCAGTACTTTCTGGATGTTGCCCGTCACTGCCAGTGGCTCAGGCGGCAACGTGCAGACTTTAGCAGGTAATAGTGCGGCAGGCCCACCGTGGCCAGCTGCAGGACCCTCACAAGTGTGGCAATTTCCCATGTCTGCGAGATTTAATTACCCGGGGAATTTTGAACTTGAAGGTGGACTAATGCAGGAGCAACAACCACCTTCACAGCATCTTGGATTTGGTGAGTCCAATTTGAGAATGTTGGCAGCTTACTCAAGAGGTGGTTTGAGTATAAATCCTGGGCAGGCTCAGCAAGTGCATCATCCATTGGAGATACAGCATCAGCAGATTCAGGCTAATGACAGTGGAGAAGACGACCCAAATACTTCTCAATGAGAGTATATATAGATAGAAAGAAAGATTTTGAAATCTGAATTTGGTTAGTGATCAATTACCTGAGTCATTCATTTATCGAGTGAGCATTTTTTTCAGTTTTTTTTTTTTTTTTTTGGATTGGAATTGATCATTGATTGCTAGAATGGTTTGATTTTCAGTTTTTTTTTTTTTTTTTTTTTTTTTTTGGATTGGAATTGATCATTGATTGCTAGAATGGTTTGATTTTGCAGATTTTTATATATAATTGAGTTATGATGAGGGTTGATTTCATCCCATTCTTATATTTGTGTGTTATTTTTACAAGTATTCGAGTCTCTAATTTGGAAAAATGGACTTGGCTGATCAATTAGACTGAAAAAATCGAGAAAATTGGTCTCCGACTATGTTGGTTTATAGTATGAAAATCGCATATTTAAAAATTGGTATGAGATATACTTGGTTGAGCTAGTCAAGGGCTATCTTATAGTTAACAAAATTAAAAATAAAAGTTACATAATAAAATTTGTCGATCATTAATTTTAATATTGATCAATTCAAGGAGAAAATACAAAGAATATTGTTACTTGAGTTGGCCATATTCATGCATATACTCATTTCCATTCCATCAATATGGGGTGTTCATTTACCCCATCATTTTTACTCATTTTCTCAAACTCATTTTTTTTTCAAACTTATTTCAACCACACATTTCATGGTATGTACTGCCATTATCAACTTTTCATTTACACATTTTATCAACTTGTGTAAAAAACTACTAAAATTTTGATTTTAATTAAATCAAACTGGATCTTAATAACATGGCTATAATATTCTTGCTTCGTCGACCAGCACAAATAGAACAAGGGACTTGATCTATTATCTCCGATGTAAGGTTAATCTTCTAACTCGTTTTGAAGTTGAAGGTTCAGTTTTGGCAACGTTGCTTCTCGTAAGTCAAGTATGTAACGATCCTTGTCGGTAGAGCACAACACTCGAGGCTACGTTATTAAATATAAGATTAGAGAAGTAGCCACAAGTCCCTTATCTACTAGTACCATTGAATAAATCCTTGAAATTGTCGAATCTTAATCAAATTGTCAAACTCTGATTGAGGCCATCTATCCATTTGAAAGTGACTTATTAGAGTAGGAATAGGAAAGAAAAGGGCTAATCAATCAAAATTTAGATCGAGAGGAAATCTTTTGAAGGTGAATATCTGAGACTAATGTTTAAGCCAGATTTTAAATAATTATAATGGGGCTAAATGGTTATTAATTTATAGAATGATTTGAAATTTTAACTCTTTGGAAATGAGATTCTACCTTGTATAGGGTGTGTCCCCACTCATGTTACTCCATGTTTTTTAAATGTTATCACTAATGTCATTATCCAACTTTCCTCTACGTGACTATGATTCTTGGCTAGTTTACTTGCTTCTCGAGTTTAGTTGGTATTGTTTGGTGTCTTCGTGTTAAATTTAGCCTATTTTCGTTCTTGGTCAAACCCGACTAATGATCTAATGACTCTTTAATATGGATTTTGGATTATTCAAGTTGTCGTTAAAATTGTTTACGTACAATGACTTCAAACTTTAATAAAATCGGTGTTCTATGCCCTCAAACTTTACATGAGTAAACATTTGGATTAATAAAACCATTTTTTTAGCATGTGGCTCGTCAATCATCAAGTTTGTAGTAATTGAATCCTCAACGGTAGATTTTAACTGATATTAAACAAAATTAAGATATTGCTTTTGCATATTTGTGATATTACCTGTTGGAAAAGGTGATTTGTGAAACACGATTACATGATTTTCTAGTGATTATAGCATACTTTAATAGGTAAAATTTTAATCAAAGAAATGAAGAAAAGGTTGAGTGTCTTTTGTAAAGAATGATTCGATGGAATGTTTGTGTGATCATTTCCTTCCCCTAAAATTTCTCATCCATCAACATCGGCTTTGCTTTCTACTTGATTGACTCAATTAGAATTGTGATTCTTCTATCATAATTGTCTTTGGAGCGGAAATTTTGACTTTTAATTCACATGTTCATATTATGCCCTTGTTTGTTGGGGATTAAAATTGAAATTTTGATAGATTTTGATAAAAACTAATGAAATATATTATTGGAAAGTTGTGAATCTCATAAAATGTGTGGTTAAAATTAATTGTTGACTTTGATTATATTAAAAGCTGAATTTTAATTTGTACAAACTGTGTTGTATATCTCAAAGATTCACAAATACACATTCTTTGAGTACAAATTATCAAAATATTATTATACGAAAGAGTAAAAATCTCAAAGATTCACAAATACGCATTCTTTGAGTACGTATTATCAAAATATTATTATACGAAAGAGTAAAAATCGATATTGACCTTGAAAATTGTTAGGATCTTGCTGTTGACAAAACCTCGAGCATGTCCTAGTTGACATGCTAGTGCCAAGAGCACTAGCCAAGAAGAAAAAGGGTCGACGATTGATGACATTTTGATGATCAAGTCAACTGTCGATACGATTTGTAAGCGTAAGAATTGGTATGCAAGAGAAAAGCAAGTAGAGATAAGGCCACAGTTATTATAATAATGAAAAGTTTACATTAGCCTGTACACGTGTGTCAATATTTATTGGAGAAGAATACTAGTATAACAAGACATTGGACGTGCAACCCTAATACATGCGTCCTGCTCTTATTTTGCATGATTCCTTGTTTAGTTATGGTAGATTTCCTCCTTCGAACTTGTTTTCTTGTGCAATCGATTTTCTAGTGGAGATTGATCTCAAAAGATTCTCCTTGATTCTTCTATGAACTTATTATGGTAATTGCTTTGGAAGACTTCTTTATGAATACAGGCGACTAGGAAATCTGCTTGTAAAAGACCTTTGGTCGTCACTGATTCACGTGAAGTGTAGTGCCGCACAAAGACTAGATAGATGACGTTGGAGGTGAAGATAGAGGCAAATGCGTCATGGTCTTCACTTAAGAAGATGACGAAAACAAATCTAGTCACATGCCTTAAAGCCGACGTTTAATGTAATGCTGGCACTTAATTGAAGCCCCTTGCAAGTTCAGGGATGTAACAAATATTTTAGTAGGACTTATGGTTTTAGGGTTTTTTTTATTTTTTTTATTTTTTTATGAGTGAAATTTTTTGGACGGTCTCTGTTTCTCATCTGTTTAAAGTGAAGTAATCATAAATATCAAATCTTTCACTTTCTCCTTTTTCCTTTTTTCTTCCTTTGTTGACATTTAACATTAATTGAAAGCATGTTAATGATTGTAGTTTGCTTCACTATATTATAAATTAATTTCGATTTAGAACAGATATGATGATCTTAATGAATTGTTAAATATACGTAGAGACAACTATAAAAATTTCATTTTTTCACGCATTAAAACTTACATAAAATTCGATTGTTAATGAATTTATGTTACTTTTAATCCAAAATATCTACTGGTCGAGTTCACATATGCTAACTCATATTGATTAAATATTTTATCCATGTAACTCGAAATCATACAAAGAACATATTAATCAAATTTTGAGATTCAAATATGGTCAATGATCCAATGTGACAAACTCGACATTGTACCAAACAACCACCTACTAACTTAACCATTAAACCTTGTTGACCTTCTGTACTCGATGAAATCTAAGGCTTAGATGGGCTATGCATGAGAATCCATCGGTACTTCGAACCCCCAAAATCATATAAGAATATATTCGAGAAATTCTATTTATAATTAACATCATATATAATAGAAAGAACCTTTAAATTTAGAAGCTAATTTTTTTTATAAGTTTTAATAGGATTTCTATTTTGACGTTCTATTTTGCTTTTCACTAAATACTTATTATTTTACACTCATCTTTTATTTAATATATTCTTTTAATATCAATCAACTCATAAAATGATCTGAATAATTTGAGAATTACAGTATTTAAATCTTTAACTTATTAGATGCAATTATGCAAATAAAAAGAATAGAAAATGAGTTTCATTCTCCAATCTTCAATCTGTTTTAAAAAATTAAAATTTAGAGTCGATTAAAACTTATTTATACATATATTCTTTAAAATAAAGAACATCTTCTATTTTTTTTTTTTTTTTTTTTTTAACCTTTGAGGTAGGAAATTTAAAGTCAATTCCATAACATTAATTTTTATTTATTAGGGCAGAAGTGGAAACGTGCCTGAGTTGGGCTACGTAGTTGGGGGCGGCGAGTCTGCTGATTTGTTTATTTTTTCTTTTGATGGCTATAGTGATAAAAAAAAAATACTAATAAATAAATAAATAAATACTTAAGAAGCGTTTGATTGCAAGCATGGGATTTGTATGAAAAGAAAATAAATTATAGGTAATTCAATTGCATAGAATTTATTTGTGTGAAAATTGTCAATTAAATGTGTTTTAGTGATTTAATTTTTAACATAGAAAATATTATACTCGTCTATTTTTTATTGATGGGTTAATGAAAGAAAGTGAATAAATAAGAGAGAGTAAATTCCTTGGAAAATAAAATCATACTCTTCCTAAAGAAAACATTTTCCTTGATTTTGAGAAAAATATGATCACGTGACCAAAAGTGAGAACTTATCTTTCATGGAAAAAATGGCAATCAAACAGTACAAAAGTAGGAATTTGGATGGAAAAAATACATTTTTCATAGAAAATATAGGCAATCAAATACACTCTTATTGTATATAATCATTTACAGATTTTATTTTATAAATTGATGATGTGGCAAAACGGAAAGTAGAGAATTTTTTTTTTTTTTTGGTTCATTTGGTTAGTGAAATTTTGACTTAATCAAATCTTGTTATATCATCTGTTGGTAAAAAAAGTCTATAAACTGTGATGTAGATATAACATAATCGATATTGATCACACAATAGTTTTTTTTACCAGTTATGTTACATATATATAATAGTTTACATAATGATTTACATACCCATGATATGATGAGATATAATTGGATTATAATTTATTCAACCAAATAAAAAAAACTTTTTTCACTCTGTTTTTGACACCTCATTTGAATGTAAACAATTATGTAACTTTTTCCACTCTCGTCCGAAATTTTTGTTGATAAGGATTAAAAGATATATACGTCCATTGCATTTTAAATATGCAACAAAAAATTTAACAAATATAAAAGCGTGACT